GTATGTATGTATGTACGTACGTGTAGGGTGATGATTATATGTTAGATGAGGATGGAGTTACAAAACAGAGTTACCCAAATCATTGGAAAGGAAAGAATGGTTTGTACTGCGTTGGATTGGCAAGAAAAGGATTGTATGGAGCTGCTGTTGATGCTGAAAGGATAGCCATTGACATCAAATCACTCCTCTAGATACTCACTATATATATATATATATATATATCTATTTCTCTCCATACATATATATATATAATATATAATACATAATATATAGCTATAGGTATATGTTTCTCCCATGCTCTCTGTATTTAATTATTCTTGTTATTCGAGGACAGCTCTGTCTTCCCAGCATGATTATGCTTGATATCTTCAGTCAAAATGTTCTACTCGAAAATCTGTTGATTTTGTAACTTCTTTATGGGTTTCCTAGAAAAGAGTGTATGCATTTATATATATATATATATATATATATATATATCTATGTTCTGTTAGATGGAATACAAGATAGAACTTGGCCTGAGTTATCAACTATTTACTTAGATATAAAATATTTTAATATCACACTCGTCACCCATATTTATATATGCAAATATATATATATATATGTTTGTATGTAAGCAAATCTGATTGAGAGAAATATTTATATCAATTTTGTAATTTTGATGCTCCATGCATGCTCGCACATATATAAAATATTTGTCTATCTGTCTCTCTGTTTCTCCTTCTATCTATCTATTTATCTATCTCTATATCTATTCCTCCATATCTAGTGTGTGTATTCATTTAGTTTTTTGCTTAAAAGGAGAGAAACCTGATTGAGAAAAACAAAACAAAAAAATGAAACAAGAACAAGTTGTGATCGTAGTAGAAAGCAGGACGACCAATTATATATATATATATATATATATATATATATGCTCTATGCCCACATAAATATATATATTTCTGTCTGCTTGTCTCTCTCTCTCCATCTATTTATCTATTTATGTATCTCTCTGTGTATAGTGTGTGTATATTCATTTAGTTTTTGCTTATAAGGAAAGAAACATGATTGAGAAAACTTGAGAAAAAAAAAAATGAGACAAGAACAAGTTGTGATCATAGTAGGAGCAGGACCGACCTTCTGGTCTATCGACAGCAGCATGCCTAACCGTGCAATCAATACCTTACATACTCCTTCAAAGAGAAGACTGTTTTGCTCGGAAGAAATATTCCTACCATCGTTCCGTCTTCACATCATTAAACAGTTCCGTCAGCTACCTCCCATGGAGCTTCCCTCCACCTACCCAACTTATCTCCTAAAGAACCAATTTCCGCGGTACCTAAACTATGCTTTTGCATTTCGAGATCCACCCAGTATAGCAGAGATGAGTTGAAGTGGCCAACTACGACGAAGCAAGCAAGAAACAGCTGATTAAGGCGAGAAATCTGAGACTCTGGCAAGGTGGAGTATGCTTCCAGGTTTTTGGTGGTGGCAAGTGGAGAAACCAGTAACCCTCGTACACCAAAGATTGATGGGTTAAAGTTCTTCCAAGGGAGAGCTTCTTCACTCAACACAGTATAAAAATGGGAAAGCTTACAAAGAACAGAATGTTTTGGTCGTTGTTTCTGGTAATTCTAGGATGGAGATTCCACTAGATCTCAGCTGAGCATTGTGCTAAAACCTCCATTATTGTTCGTACCTCTGTAAAGAAAAAAAAAACACACACACCACACATATATACATATATGTTATGTGGTTCTTGTTATAATTTGATACTACATATCATATATAAACTTCTTGAAGGTTCATATTCTGTCAAGGCAGATGGTGGTGACTTTTGGGATGAACATAATAACTAATTTTCCTAAAGTACTGTAGACTGGGTGCTAGTAATACTCGGCAAAACTGTTTATGGTGACCTAAATAAGTACGGAATAAAGACATACGATAGTTTAACAGTTAAAATTCTCGTATCTTTAATTAAAAGTATATTGTATATATTAACACGGATAATTTTTTTAAAATTTTTTTCTTCAAGTAAGTTAATGGTAAGGGTTTTTAACCCTTTTCTCTTCTCTAATTTTTTCCTCCCTTGAACTTCTACATGTTGGTGCTGGGAACTCAAGACATACACTAATATCTCTCAAAAACTAATAGTTCTATATAAAGTAAACAAAAAAAGTACAAATGACAATAAAATCAAACATCATGGGTGAAGTTATATTTTCCTAAAAGAATTTAAAGCCGACACGTCAATAAAGTAAACAATAAGCAAAGATCGAGTCACCATGACTTACTCCCAACCGATTAACAGAGTTTTATAATTATAGTTGTTCATTGACTTGTTTGTGATTTGCGTTTCACCATTAGAGGAGGTCTTCGGCGTTTGATTAAGTTTTTTTTTTAAGTAAAAGAGAACCTACACTAAGAACTTTTTGGACGTTCTATTGTTCATATACTACTAGAAGAAATATCTATACATAGTATAGATGCACTCAATCTTCCTATAATAATCTTATTGTGTAAGGGGATGTGTATATTTTACAACTACGAGATCTGGCCCACGCTATATGCATATGTTTATACATGTATGCATGTGTATGTAATTGCTTTGATATCATGTGTTACAGCAGCATGAAAATCTTCACCAACTCCACATATGGGTTTGTTATCATGTGTTATAGTAACATGTGTTACTATATATGTTCTTATTGCATTTTTAAAAAAAAAATAAATAGCATATTAAATTAATCCTTCAAGTTCCTTATTTATTACAATTTGATCTCTAATATTTTTTTCCTTACAATTTAGTTCTTAACATTTTCTATTTGTTTTGACGATCAATTTTCTTTCATTTTCAGACAGAAAAAAAAACTAAAATAATTAAATTGTATTTGTATGCTTTAAAAAATAATTTAAAAGAATGAATTGACTAATATGTTATCGATGTTATCAGGTCTGTATGAAAACAGGTTGAGTCGGCCCGCACCAAAACACAATATCTGTCTAAAGAGTGATTCGGTACATTCGAGCTCAAGTGAGCTCAGGACAGAATGAGTATTTAAATCTATCTTCTTCCCCGAGAAACTCCAGCCTGCTCTCCTCTCTGCTACCGCTGACGCACGCCAAAACCTTCCATTTTTCTCTATTTTCTTGCACTCTTTTCTAGTTGTTTTGAAGGTAGATACGTACATATGTCACTCAACCACTCTTGCGAAGAGCTTCTCTTTTCGTTCACCCGCTTACGCGCCTTCTACCGTCGCCAAACACTGCCTGCGCAAATCCGATATTTTCCTTCCCTTTTACCTGTCATTTTTTATACCAAAATATTGGTTTTGGATAGCTTTGTTGGTGAACTTCATTTTCTTTCATGGTATCATAGCATATTAGGAATTGAGTCAAATTTCTTAACAAACCACTTGAAACCCAAACCCAAACTTTAGGAATTTGGCCATAACAAATCTGGATCCATCAAATGT